CCTGATCAACCAACTCCTGATCAACCAACTCCTGATCAACCAACTCCACATTAACCACCTCCTGGTCAACCAGTTCTTTATCAACCAGCTCCTGGTCTAACAGTTCCTGGTGAACCAGTTCCTGGACTGTTCCTGATCAACCAGCTCCTAATGGGCCTCCTGGTCCAGAACGTGTTGGTGCATCTGGTCTTGGATCTAAACGCGTAAACGTAAACGTCTGGCCGTTACCTTCCTCTGCCAGGTTCTTGTCCATGATCAGTTTGCCGTGTCGGAGGTAATTCAGGATGGGGCCGAAGTACGTGGGGTCCCTGTCGATGAGGTAGGCCCCCGTCTCGTCCTGTAAACACAAAACGGTGAGGCGTCTTCTGGTGGTGCCCTAAAGCCAGACTTTTCTGGAGGAGGTTTTAACAATCTAACCCTCCAGACTTTGAGCCTGAAGTGCAACATGTCCTTTAACCCAGTGTTTCCCCCCCCTGGTCCTGAAAGCACACTGCTAATGCCCCTATTCTAGCACACCTGAGTCAAATTAATGGGTCCTGGTTGGCCTTCTGCAGATTTTAAAGAGCTAAAGAGTGGCCCCATTTATTTAAATCAGGTGTAAACATCAAACACATCCTGGAGGAGGAGGGTAGGAAAACACTCTTCTGGCCCAACTCTAATAGGAAGACAATAATAACTTCAACTCAATTGTTTCTTTTTGCAATCAACTCAGTGCAATATCCATTGATGTTTCTTTTGTAATAACTCTGTGCAATAATATGTATATATATGCTGTTACCCTGTATATATCTAGCTCTTAGATATATATAACATTTTATTAAGTAGGAATAAGGTCTTAGCTCTGTCACATTGGTAGCCAAGTAATCGACATTTCGTTGTCAAGATTCACCTTGTGTTTTTTGTATAATGACAATAAAGGAAGTCTAAGTCTATAATAGCCAAAATTTATGTTAAAATAAGGACAAGCTTGATTTTTAAAAGGGTTTATTTCTCATGACTATAAGTAATATGGCACTGAGTGAGTTCTGCTTCTTTTGCTTTGGTATTCGAAGGTGGTGTATACTATGTAGTCATGTATACTCATGCATATTTTTTTTAACTTTTAGCTGAATTTCTACTGTGTTATTTATTTATTTTTGATATGTTTTTGTGCAGCACTTTGGAAACCCCTGCGTTTGTTTAAATCGTGCTATATAAATAAAGGTGGATTGGATTTTCAGATAACATAACCGGATCTGATCTATACTTTCAAAAACTGTATTTTTCAGTTTTATCATTTCTGTCCTATATTTTTCATTTCTACATTTTATTTCTTGCTTCTCATAGAAGTGTTGTGTTGTGCACCTAACACCAAGGCAAATTCCTTGTAAGTCTAAAAACCTACTTGGCAATAAACCTTATTCTGATTCTGATAACATGACCCAGGTTTAGTTTAGTTTTATTAGGATCCCCATTAGCTGCCAAATAAATGGCCACTAGTCTTCCTGGGGTCCTCAGATGAAGAAATTATATTACATTATAAACAGATCATGAAAAATTAAAATAAAAATCACAGTAGGAAATAAGAAAAACATAAACAAGAGTAGAACTATACAACATATATACACAGGTCAGTTCATGTTATCATTTGCAGTAGTTCTGAAGACACAATATTTTTTAAGCTTGTTCTGTTCTGAACTGTTCGGTCAAGGTGTTCTCACCTTGTCGGAGTCCAGGTCCGGGTCCTCCTGACACAGTCGGAACAGGAAGGATTTGGGGTCCCTGCATAGCGTCTGTTTGGTGGTGACGAAGTAGGTCCCGCCGACGTTGAGGCGGACCCAGCGGGGGCCCGGTTTCTCCGCGGGTTCCGACGGGGAGCTGGGGTTGCTCTTCAGGGGGAAGCCGAACACCGCCCTCCCCCCACCACTGGTCCCCCCCCCACCACCGGGACTGGTGGTGCCCCCCCCCCCCGGGCTGAGCTGGCCGCTGCCCCGCGGAGGGACCGCGAGGGTGGGCGACGCCAGGCGGATGGATCCGCGGTGCTCCGGTTGCTCCACGGTGCTAGTTCCGCCCGATTCCACGACATGTAGCTCAGCCATTTATTTTTGCTCCTTTTACGTTATTAAAAAAAAACACAAACACACACACACGCACGCACACGCGCGCGCGCACAAACGGTGGCACGGTTAGCTAACGGCACGGTTAGCTCCTCTCAGGCGACTTGTAAACAGAGCACGGTTATTTCGGGGTGTTTTTCTCCGGGCATCGGGGCGTTGCTGCTCACACTCGACCGACTCCCCCCCTCCGGAACCGGCGATTAGGACACAAATGAGGCTATCGTCGGACCGAGGACACGGCCAGCATCGCGTTTAATCGTTTCTCCCGACGATAAACGGCTCATTCTCATCTATTCAAACGTTAGTCGGAGCTGGGCAGCACTTCCGGGTTGTAACGTGATTACTGTTTACTTCCGGTACGTCGCTGGCTTCCAAAATAAAAGTGAGCACAGGCAGAGTATGAGTGGGCCCCAAACAAAGTCCTGAGGGGCCAATACCCATTAGAGTCTGGACCCCTCTGGACAAAGACTCATCAATGACCCCCTTTTCTGTTGTGGATCATTTAGTTTCTCTTAATTTTCCCCCCCAAAGGTTATAATATAAAATCTTATAATCTCTGATGTAACAAAACCAGAGTTAATGACCGTCTTACCTGGTTTCAGAGCTGTTATGTTTATCCTGATGAAAAGGTATGATTATTGACGTTTTTTTAATTTTTGTGTTTTAATTTACAAGACACTATAAATGAAGGTTGGTGTTATCTTTATTTAAACTGACCACTACTTATGGGGAAAAAAGGGAGAATTATATGTCACTGTGTTGTTATGTTGCAAAAAAAGATCTTTAATACATTTAAAGAATGGTTTTGTTTCTGTTTAATTTACAAAAAAGATATATATGCAAATCAGATTATTATACATAACATTACATATTATGTATTCAACATTTAACACAATTAAGATCAGGTCTCGATGTAAGTACTATAAACTCTCAAAGTGTTGGATGTAAAAAAAATATAAATGTTTTTCTTAAAACACACATTATAAGATGATTTTTACACACAAATGACTTATTTTTACACACTTTAATTATTACATCTTTGGACACCTCCTAGATCAGTCGCAAAAAATAGTACATTTTTTATATTCAAATTAAATGGATGACATATAAAAAATGGCATGTTTGCAATATTAATTTCCAACCTGTAGGGGCAAAAGTGGCGCCATTGGTTGCGCAGATTGCAATATAAGCGAAGAAGAAGAATTTGAGTAGCGGTGGGCGCCTTCGGTACCTGCTCTGGTCATCGCAGTTGAACTGTACTTAACAGGTTCATTTCATTCCTCATGATTTGATTATACCTTTAATAGAGTTTGGGGTAGTTTCGTAGCTTTGTTGTTTCTCTTATTTCTCTATTGATGCATTTCTGATTAATTAAGGTTAGCTAGCTATGATTTAGTCTCCACATCTTGCTGGCTAGTTAGCTTGTTAGCATTATAGAATGTAAACAATTCCTATCTAAACATGTTTGTACCCTAGTTTAAAAAATAAACGGCACGTTTATAACGTTTTAGGTAGTTTATGATTAACGCATCTCTATATAATTAGTGCATCTCTATTGTCAAGCTGTTTAGATGTGAGTGAGGACCTATAGCTCAGGTGGTCTCTGCATAGGGTACTAAGCTACCCAGCCTTTTTAAAATAAAATGTGTTGTCGATATGCCAGCTGCCCGAGCCATGAGTGAATTCAGGATCCACCACGATGTGAACGAGCTGCTCAGCCTCCTGCACGTGCGCGGAGGGGATGGAGCCGAGGGGTACATAGACCTGCTGCAGAAACACAGGACTCCTTACGTGACCACCACCGTGTCCGCACACAGTGCCAAGGTGGGCAGAGCTCATCCGTTTAATAAGAAATAACATCCATTTCCCATGCTTCTGACACATGTTTAGGTCCTTTATGAAAACAACAAAAGGCAGACTGCCCAATTCTTATCAAATACTATAGACTATAACCTTCATATTTTGTTATTTTATTGAATTAACATCTTTTCAACCTGGAAATCAAACTCTTGAGATTTAAATACTCTATTCTAATCATCTTCTAGCCAAAAAAAAAGAACTTTGGACACCAAAATATCATAGTTATAAATTGGTCAAATATTACAACTTGACACTTGCCTTCCAAATGTATATTTTCGTCCTATATGATTTAGATATCTTTAAATGATCCCTGTCTGTAAGCATGCAGATCTTGGAATCTATAATCTTTCTGGAATATTATTCTTGATTGATGCATTTATGGGACCTGATGAAGTCATGTCTGGATCCTCATGTGTGCTATTTTGAATATAATCTAGCAGAGCCCCAATCATGCTTGTCTTTAATATTTGTAATACATTCAGTCTTTTGGAGGACAAACACGAGTGTCGTCATAGTTGCCTTTGTGTGATTTTTAGGTGAAATTGTCAGAGTTCTCGAAAACGCCGGAGGACTTCTTGAGGAAGTATGAGGAGCTAAAGTCCAAAAATGTTCGCAACCTGGACCCGCTGGTGTATCTGCTGTCCAAACTGTGTGAGGACAAAGAGGTATGACGTCGTATTTCTCTGTTAGAGACAAGTCTTCTTCAGAGGGGGGGTTTCAGGGAAAACCAGAATTAGATGGAGGATTATATATTCTATTTGGTCTGGGAACACCTCAGGATCCCCTGGAGGAGCTGGGAGTGTTTTAGGGGAGAGAGATCTGGTTTTAATCTCAGAATCTGATGCCTTGGATGAGAAATAAAGAATGGATGGATGGAAGGATTAGTCAGAAACAAAATGTCTGTGTCTTTTAGACGCTCCAGTTTCTGCAGCAGAATGCTAAAGAGAGGTCGGAGTCATCGGCGAACGCAAACTCAACAATGACCAGCAGCTACACTCTGCCTCAGACCAGCACCAAGATGTCCATGCAGGAGCTGGACGAGCTGCGGAAGAAGCTGGGAAACGTGACGGCCAGCTCCAACGCGCCTCTGGTGACCCTCTCACACTTTTACTGGTGTCCATTCTCACTCATCCGGGTCTTGGTGATGCTCGAATAGGATCAGCTCTCATTCAAAAGGCTTCTTCAGCTCTAAACAATTAAGTAAAGAATATCAGCTACAGAAAGAAGAGTGATAATAATTCAGGTTATCACCTGTCAATAAGTTACTGTGTTCCTTAATAACTGATCGAGGGTGAATTCTGACTTGATTCAGGCTCTGAGCTATCTTTACTCTTTAAACGTTGAATTATGTTGAGATATTTGACAGTTCAAACAAGACTCGTTCAGGGTAGGTGATTTTTATAATACTGTACATATAAAAGCCGGGGATCTTTTAGATTATCAAAAACTGCCATTAATGAGGTTTTTGTCAGTTTCAGGTTTTGTGAAAAACCTTTTAAACATTGAATAAATCTCAGCTCTCAGGACTGTCACTGTTAACAAACTTCAGCTTTTTGTGCTCTTTTGCACATTCTAAAAATATTTTTCATGATTCTGTCATATTTATACGAATGTGCGAAAAAAATCTGAAAAATAAATCATGATTTTCTCTTTGCTCGGGGAGCTTTTGCCTTAAAAAAAAAGACTATTCAATATCTGTGAGAAGAGAAGAAAACTTGTGTTTTAGATGAAAATAATCAAAACCAGCATCCTCCTGTGTTTTCTAAATAAGCACAATGTTAAGTAAACCTCCTTTTTTTTTCTCTGGAAATCGGTCCTTAGCCAGCTGAGGTCACACGGAAGATGCTGAGGGACAAACACAACAAGAAGAACCCCACGCAGCCCAACCCCGTCTTCCCCAACTGGGTGTACGACCGGCCGGCCCTCCTGGGGGATTTCATCACCAGCCCCAGCCCCGCGCCCGACCCGGTGGTGGCCATCGGTGCGTAGTAGTAAATGTTCAACTCGATACCGATACTCAGGAAAATACTCTATACCATTTTCGATACCACAAGGATAAAAACAAAGACCCCAAAATTTAACAGAATTTTGACAGGTTAATGTGTTTAATTTCAAACTGACCTGTTACTGATGTTATGGTGGCCCACATTACTGACCCTAAACTTAACCCTAACCCTAACCCTTCATAGATGTGAGAAATAAATATTTTTTGGTTAAACTTGTTTGGACTTATTGTACAAACCTATTTAACATCCACTATTTGAACATAATAATATGTATAGAGTTGAATTAAGTGTTTGAAAAATTAATTTCACTATTTTTAAATGAATATCTATATTGCCACGAGGCAATTACGATTTTCTTGCCTGGAATCTTCCGATTGGTGACGTAATCAAAATGGCCGACTTGGATGTGGGCGGAGTTCTCAGCCAGACGTATTTGATTAATGTTGGCGGGTTATTATTAGCCATTAGCCGCAGCTAGCAATTCAAGGCTAACGTCTTGTTAATGATCATAATAAACAACGTAAATAAATACATAAATAAGAGAGAAGGGGCGCAGCGACGGCAGGTCAGCGTTGGTATCGATACTCTTCAAAATGAGTAACGTATCCGGATACAACATTTTAGTATCGATACTCTTCAAAATGAGCATCGTATCCGGATACAACATTTTAGTATCGATACTTTTGAAAATGAGTATCGTATCCGGATACAACATTTTAGTATCGATACTTTTGAAAATGAGTATCGTATCCGGATACAACATTTTAATATCGATACTTTTTAGAGTATCAATACTTTTGACAACCCTAGTGCGTAGGGCCGGACCCGTCCGTCTCCCTCCTCCTCCTCTCTTCCTCATCCTCTCTTCCTCTCCTCTCCTCCTCCTCCTACCCTATCCTATCCTCTCTTCCTCTCCTCTTCTCCTCCTCCTATCCTATCCTATCCTGTCATCCTCTCCTCTTCCTCCTCCTCTCCAACAACCAGAAAATCACAGGAAAAATAACCAGAAAATGACATAAAAAATACAGGACAAACAACCAGAAATTACAGGAAA